GTCAAAACCGTACGCACGTGATTTACGACCTTGAGGACTTGGTTTTTACCAAACAAGTCTTGTTTTCACTATTTTATACCATATACAATGTTTTTCAAACTTGGTTTTTACTTTTGGGAACGCTTCGTTTTTGGACCTCGGTTTTTCAAAACGGGTTTCAGCTGGCTAGACTTTAGCTGGGTGATAATCGATTATCACCTTAGTGACAATCGACTATCAGCCACTGCAGCTTTGAACTTCCAAGTTCTGAAGCACTAAATAATCGATTATCAGATTTGCAATAATCGATTATCAGCCTTGCAGCCAAAACCCAGAATCTTCAGAGAGGACCAATAATCGATTATCACTTGTTGACAATCGATTATCTGGGTTACCGTTGTCCTCCAACGGATAGAATTTTAAATTTTTGGACAGGGAATCTTTGGATAATCGATTATCATGGTTTGACAATCGACTATCAGCCTGTGTCCCTGAAAAATTTGTCTTCATCCTGTTGGAAATTCTAGCAACGGGTTTATCCCATTTTGGGCTATAAAAGGGCACCCAAATCCTCTCTTTTAACATACAATTCTTCAACATTTCAATACTCATTCATTGCATAAGCATTTCTACTTTTCTTAGCTATTTGAGAGCCAATTCTTGAAGAAACTGTCGTGTTCTTGAGCGTTTACTAGTTCACTCATATCTACTCTTTGTGAGAGTTTTATTCCTGAGTGATTAAGTGTTTTCATACACTTTAAGGGAGTTTGTTCCCTTGTTGTAAACTCGAAGGAAGTTTCTTGTTCCTTCGTGAGAAGTCTTGGAGTGCGATATCTCCGAGCAAAGGTGTTGAGGCTCGTGTGACTCGGGTTCTCAAGTTGTATCGGTTTGTTAAGCACCCTTAAGCTTAACGGAGTTAGTGTAGCTCGAGAGAGTCTCTCGGGGGGCTGGATTAGCCACACGTTGTGGTGAACCAGGATAAAATCCGGTGTGCTCCTTATTTACGCTCTTTACTTTAACGCTCTCGTTTTAATTTCCTGCGATTTTGTTTTAAACGCTATTCACCCCTCCTCTAGCGTTGGGCCTTTATTCTAACAATTGGTATC